GCAGAACCAGAGGTTTGTTGCTCGGTCTTAGGAGCAAATTTAGCCTGAAATTACATCTGTGAATGGGCTCTATGCTCAGCTCCCAAACTAAATTAGAAATATAATTGTCTGCATTTGTATGACAGAAAAGCATTGAGGAATATTCTTCAGGTGGAACCACTATTTTAAATGTCATCATGTCTGATTTATAGGTGATTAAATAAAGAAAAAATAAGAAAAATATTTAGCCTCGCCAAATTTTGTTCCAAAATAATCACCATGAAACTCTGGATGAACCCTCAGACTTTATAGATCCACATCTTGACTAGAACTAAAGCTAATCTGGACTGAATCGGTTGAAGCATGTTTGTTCCACAAAGGTTTCAGCGGAAATTGGATTTTGGCACAGTGGTGCCCAGTGGCGGGCCCTGTATCGGGCCACAGGGCCGCCGAGCTGCGTTGGCCGCTGTGTGAACCTAATATTTCTGGCAGAATAAACGTTTCCACTCAGTTGTTACAGGAACTGTTTCTATGTGGGACTTTTCGCCGATATGCAAATCCCTTCCTGTGATTTTTATATCATCCACACAATCATTTGATACTTTTTAAAAATGCAGGTTGTGCTGTGATCCGTTAGCTAATGCTGCTAATGTATATCGCTAGTTTAAAGAACGGTTTTTACAGTCAGCTCCCGAGGACAGCTGGAAATAATTTTATTCTTTGGACTTTTTTTACTAATTTGAAGCCTCCATTCAGTCAGAGATAAATTCATATGTTATTAAACATAATCATAAGACCCTTATTAAAACTGAACTAAAAATAATATTATAAGGTTATAGATATGGGTTGATAGAATCCAAACTTGGGTCTGGTCACTAACGAGATGGGGATCAAACCCTGATTAAAAATATCAGAAGCTGATTTCCTTCACGTTCATCTATAACTTTAATCTGAGGAAAACCAAACGGCTTCTTCTGCAAAGAAATGCACTCATCGCATAAATAGATGAGCTTCAAAGACTGCAGAACCCGTCTGGTTCCGCCGGGTTAAACAAGGAAAGTTCTGCTGGCAGTTTGGACCTAAAAAATAAAGTTCTCAGCCATGGAGCCCAGGGTAATAAAGATAATATCTTTCTGCCTTCTCTGCTGATGTTCTGTGGCCTCGTCATTAGCGGGCCGCTGAAGCTGAACCACAGAAGAGACGATGAGGAGAAAAATGTTCGGTTGATCTTCAGAGGAAAACTGTTTCTGTTAAACCGAAAGGTTTAAGTAACGACAGCAGATTTTCCATCTCTGAACACAACAATCAGCTCCACCCCTGGGTGGGAGTAAACACAGCCCACCACGAAAGGCCATTCTATTCAGTGTATTTCTATAGCTCCAATTCACATCATGTCATCTCAGGTCACTTTCCAGTTCACCAGATCATCCAGTCAGATTGATTCAAAGT